AAGTATTTATCTCAATCAAAAAAATTGAGAAAGCTCTTACAGCGTGTATCAAGATTAAGTATTTATTAATAAGAGAATAATATAATGATATAGTAAATGAGTAAATAATAGCATTGTATATATTTTATTCGTTATCAGTTTAGTTATTCAAGTCAGTTATTTTTTTGTTATTGAATTTTCATTAAACTAACAGATATTTAAAGGTAATTAAAAAAAAATTTAAAATTAGAAATCCATTATTGTCCGAAATTCAGAAAACGTAAATAAAAAATTATTTAATTTATTTTTCTAATTAATTATTATCTTGCTTTATTATCGCAACTAAATATTTTAATAAAAATTTAATAAAAACGCTTCTCTTCTATAATACATAAATTGTTTAATAAATATTTACAATAAATAATCGCAATCAAGGGTATATGTGTTATCAACAATAGTGTGTATTTAAATAACGAGCAGTTAATTTTACTCGATCACTAGCTATCGTATAGTTTGCTCCATCTATTGCAAATTTTGCCTTGCAAACAGTCAACTCAAGGAAACGACGAACACCGGACACTTATCAAACGTACTTAATTACGCGCACTACTGAACGAAATTTGATATTTGTCACGCACTTCCGAAGAAACGAAAGAAACTGCGAATTCTCCCGACACGGTACGCGAAACACAGAATATGAGATAGAACGCACTTTATTCCATAACGCGTTCGTGCATATAATTGTATACGATTATTATATCTACGCTCAATGGTGGACTTTTCATTAGATGCGCAGCAGACCTTCAATATTTCACAGACTTTTAAATCAAGTTATGTTTAGAGGCCTTAATAAGTGTCAAAAACATCGTACACATAATATTACGATTACTTATATTTTATTCAAATATTCATTATTCAAATATTTGGATGCAAGACAAGTAATTCTTACAATTGTAGCGACCATAGCATTAAGTGCAACGATATAGATATAAAGTAACTGTAACAAAGCAGTGGATCACATCAGTTAATGTAAAAAAATAATTTTTAATTACTACATCATAAATACTTGCGATATCATTGCATTATAAATACCAATCATCACATAAATAAATATATTCTATTACTACTATAATTATATGCAGTACTAGCTGGTTACCCGGGCTTCGCCCGGGAGTCGTTTTTTTTTTAAACGACTTCATTTGTGTTTCAATATCCTTAAGCGGGGAGCACACACTTCTGCACAACGCATAATGTGTAAGCATAAGAAAATTGATTGGTCCATACACATGTGCATAAGGAAATAGACCAATCAGTTTTCTTATGCTTACGCATTATGCGTTGTGCAGAAGTGTGTGCTCCCCGCTTTATTGTGGATAAACATAAAGAGTGTGTCGGGTGGTTGATTTAAAGACGGTAGTTTAACTTTTCTGCATGAATAACACATTCTAGGTGCTTAAGTTTTAAACTTTTTTACTTGACAATGATCACATATTGCATCCATTTTTCCAATTATTACACTCGGATAAAATTGATATTCGTAATTTGAGTCATAACTATAAATGCCTCTAATTTCAAATCGGACCGCATAAATGTTTTCGTGGATTAAACATGTCGTAACCGGTCTTTTTCTACTCGAGTTTCACACTATTGTCATTTCCGCTTTTCCGATATTTCACTTACCGATCAGCGACAACATCCCTTGGTTTACCCAGGCGTTTTTTCGGGAATTTTGAGATTGCTCGCTCGCGATGTACACAGAACCTCGATTTTTCAATTAAAAAACCAAGGAATAAAATCGGTAATCACCGATTCTCACCAAATTCAATATAATAATATTCTATCCATAAAAAAAATTAGCTTGATATCGCAAAATTTGCAAAAATCAAAACAATTACATAGATTTTTTTAGACTGAAATCGGTAACCCTTTATTAGGAAATTCTACCCCTGTTTTATATACAATTCTTTAAAATTCGGTCAATTATTTCCCGAAAAATTGGAAAAATTTCAGATACCGGTTCCAATAAAGATCGGTAACAAAAAACTATACAGTTTATAGCACTCCCCGGGAAATTCTACCCCTATTTCATATACGTTTGGTAAAAATTCGGTCCATTGGTTTCCGAGATCATAGCGAACAAAAAAAATGCAAACCCTGTTGCTTTATAATAATAGTATAGATACAATTAATTATACATATGAATATTTTACATTTAATTAACAATAAGTCACATATATACAATATGAAAATATTTTAATTAAATATTTTAATTAAATGCATGTACAAATTCATTATACATACACAAGTAATACTATATATGGTTGCATGCATGGGGTTAATTTAATGGAACTGCCATTACATTACGTACTTTACCGAAAATGATATGCTGTATCCAGTAACGCTACGATCACATGTAGTTCACTTGACGGAACTGACGAGCATTCACGCTCTACCGACACGATGATATACTAATATACGTACATATAATATACTTCAATAGCAGATTTTGCATTAAACGCAATAGATACGCGTAATATCGTTACAACAATCAGAATTCCTGACGCTGCGTCTAATGAAAAGTACGTGTCAATCGTTTCAAATATCTTGAGAAGACATAAGGATCATTTTCGCGTACCTCAGGCATCGGAATCTATACTCACTAGTCACTAGCATCATAACCGTTTTCGAACCTCGGAGCAGTGTCGATTGCGATACATGAAACGGCAATAATCACGAAGACCCGCGATAAGCGATACGTTCCGGAGACTCGTTCGTCGTCTTTCCGGACTATTCCGGAGACTCTTAGTCGGCATTCCTGGCAAAAGTTTGGCTCGCTGCGCATTCTTAACGGATAAAATTCGCGATTACGGAGCGATCGTACACCCTCGCGTTCTGAACCGACGCCGGCGGGTGACGCGCCGCCGAAACTGTCATGGCGCTGATGGCGCTCGAACTAACGCGCGCGACGTTCAAATTAACCTTTCGATATTGAAATAATTTAACATATAAGAAATTGGAATTTTTATGATAAAAATTATATGCTTTATAACAAGCTTTTATAGCAAGCTAATCACTAATGTTTTTTTTGAATGTTTTCTATATAAAGGACCTAGCGGAGTAAGCATGTGAAATCGGCCCTTGATCATACAGAGCTGACATTAATGTCACAAGTTAGTACCAATATGATAAAACTTTCCACCAAATATTATTTTTAAAAATTCATTTTTTTAGAAGTTATGCAGGGAGAAAGTAAAATAAAGAAATGTATTTTTCTTGAAAATTACTTGACCGATCTTGATGAAAAAAATATATGTCATGTAGACTAATAAAACTAATTAACAAAAAAAATGTCCAAAATGTTTGCCAAAAAAAAAGACCAAAAAAAATATTTGAATTTTTTAATATTTTTTTTAGGGTGATATTTTCGAGGTACCCCTTTGAAATTTTTACGAAAATTTCTCTTAAAGTGTCCACTGTAACATATATTTTTTTAAATTTTTTTTAAATGGTAGAACATAGTTAAAAATACGAAAATCGTAAGCGTCGCGTCACTCCGGCGCACAGTGCAGTGCCATTCCGCGTTGCGGGTGTTCGATGTAACTTTAATAGCACATATGTACGTCTGCAATTAGCCTATAATATGTATATTTTTTAATTTTTATAGTTTCCAGAGTTTACCACGTGGAGGTTGCAGTACGGTTTTAAACTCCTTATCGGGGTGCTTTTTTAACGTGAGTCTCCTCGCCTTTCACTACGTTTCCGTAAAATCAGGGTGCTTTTTTAACGTGAGTCCTCTCGCCTCTCACTACGTTTCCATAAAATCAGGGTGCTTTTTGAATGTATATTTTTTTCATCAAGATCGGTCAAGTGGTTTTCGAGAAAAATACATTTCTTTATTTTACTTTCTCCCTGCATAACTTCTAAAAAAATGAATTTTTTAAAATAATATTTGGTGGAAAGTTTTATCATATTGGTACTAACTTGTGACATTAATGTCAGCTCTGTATGATCAAGGGCCGATTTTACATGCTTACTCCGCTAGGCCCTTTTTATAGATACGCAATAAGTATTTATGTATCAAAAAAGAAAAGATTTTATTCTAAATTTTAAATTGGCGCTGCGTACTTTTATTTAGTCGTCAGATGCATCGCGTGAATGTGACGTATAATATCACACAAGCAGGTGAACATGAAATGATCTTAATATACAATCGCTTCGAATTCTTCTTGCAAAAGACAACTGTTTGCAAAAGATGAATAATAATAAATTCTTCTACAATCAGATATATTACATAATTGCATTTAATTATCGCATTATATAAATTTTAATGGTTTAAAACATTTCAAACTCATTTTTCTAAGAATTTTTCTTAAATTTTCAAGTTTTCTAGAAAACTTTATTTTTTAAGTCATTGTTGTAGCAAATGAGTGATATTGCAGTAAATTCAAGAATTAAAAACTGTTCAAGTTAGATCTTTTGTAAATCTATAAAAGTATAAATAGCGTTTTTGATTGGGCCAGGTTTGCTCGCATCGAGAGCGATTATTGACGTCACTTCGGCAAATCGGAGCAATAACATTGTTCGATTTGCTGAAGTGACGTCATTAATTGCTCTCGGAGCGAGCAAACCCGGCCCAGTCGAAAACGCTATTTCGAAATTACTTCATGCATGAAGTATAGAAACAAAACTACGTAAGGATATATTTTGTATATATATATATATATGTATATGTCCTACTCCAGATATAAAATTAATTGTTTAATGCTAAATTCATAAGTGGAATCTTTACGATGAATAATTCATTCAAACTATACATATACACACACATAGAAAATTATTTGGAGACGTAACCCAAATTAAAATAATTTTGCATTTTTTTTTATTGAGGTTTGCAATTAATCCAATTTGCCATATAATTTGGTAAAGGTGCCGCCATCTGAAGGCCGGATAACGATATATTTTCAAGTGCCTCGTACGTTCGCTGCTACCAGCCAATCGATGTCGAGTCGCGGGAGGGGGGGGTTTCGGACCCGCGGGCCGCGACTGCAGTCTATTGACATTCCAGTGTTGTGAATTGTTTTGATTTTTGGTGCGGTCGTTATTTACAAGCACGGATTACACCGCGGCGGACGACACCTTTAATTTTAGGTACTGCAATTATCCATGCCGAACAATTGACAATTCGGCGTCGAAATCAATCCCAGTCGTACGTCCTTTGGCTCTCGCTGATTCTAACCTCGTTAAGCCTTATTCGACTTAAGCTGCAGCGTATTGTGTCAAAGAAACTGGAGCAACCAGTTGGAGACACGGTGTGATAACACCAGGTCTTATACCAAACATTAAAAGAAAAAAAACCGCAGTGTAATCGCGGTTAAAAAACAACCTCGTAATTCCTCTGTTTTACATTAGAGCATTGTTATCTAGTGGGATAAAAATGCTGTCTAATCTTTTCCATATTTTTTCTCCTCGTCATGTCAAAAATCACATTCAATTAACGTGACTTGCAGTTGGAGATTCGTGCAGTTACGAGACGGTTTTTGGTCTGTTACAGTTCCAGAGAAGTTAATTTGGGGCAATGTTCGAGTGGGCGTACGGTGGCGTGAATAGCTCCATACCACGCAATGTCGGTCCAGAATGCGCGAATTACCTGACGCTGAAGCGACGGATAATAGAAACTTTTTTTATATCAGTATTTATCATATCCTGCATCATATGGGGTCTGAAGCGAATAACCTTGCCAAAGAATCTGGCCTATGTCGGCCACGATCGTGTCGGTAGGCGAGTCTTGCTGATTGTGATGTCGCTGGTCCTGGGGATGGAGATTGGTTTCAAATTCACCAGTAGGACTGTTATATACCTGTTAAACCCTTGTCATATTACAACAGCATTACAGGTAAGCTTGAACGATATCGATATAGTCTTGAAATAGTTGAATCTGCTCTCTTCTTACATTAAATACCTTTTCACTATTATATTTATATGTATTTATATTTTCTATAAAACAGTTGTATTTATTGGCTGCTGATCCTAGTCCAACAGTCACCGCTATCTTTAGGATACATTTGAATCTGTTAAATGGACCGGTATTGGCGTACCTATTTCCAGAGACAGAATCTCGGATTGTAAGTCATAATTGTAACATGTAATCGAACATCAAGCAAAATGGAATTTTTAATAATGAAATTTTTTTCAGATATTTGCAGACAAAGCAATGTATTATATTCAGCACGGCTTGATGCTAGTAATACCATATTATTTGTTGAGGATCGGAGGTAATTATTTGTGTTCGAATAGAGATAACAGCAGATAACAAATAACATTTTGTTGTTCTTCCCATTAGGTGCATATAATGTTGAGCCCTTATCTGATATGAGCTGGTCAATCCTCAGTTACGGCCTTAATGCGGGATATCACTTTTGGATTCTTCAAAGTGTTGCCTTGGTTCGTACATCTTGCTTTGTTATCTGGATATTATATAAAAGCTTAATTCTTTGAAGATGAAGATTTATCTTGCAATATTATTCATTTTTTTACAGCCTGTACAGGTGAACCTTAGTCATATGCTATGTGCAGCAGTCTTGGATCCATTTGAAGGACAAAATTATCGAATATGGGCAGTAACTCATCAAATGATATTATGTCCCACTCTGTGCAAGCTGTTTTGTTTTGGATCCAATTTTTTCTTAACTAAGTTTCCACCGACTAGGGTTAAGCCGACGCTGGAATGCGCTATTCCAAAAGAGAATTGTACATATGAACAGAATGAGAAGTTACATGAAGAGTCTAACACCTCAGGAAATGGTCATACACATTTTGATTAATTTGGAAGAGAAAATTGTTATGTCAGATGTGTCTGAACACCTCATCTTGATTGAGTGAGTATATATTCTGTTGTAACATCTGAGATTATCTGACAATGAGAATGATGCTTATAAATTGTAATATTTTTACAAAATGTACATTTGCGCTAGTAATCACATAGATATTCTGTCAGATTAGGTACGTAAGAATATCAGGTTTTTCTCTCCATTTACAGACTAACACAATTTATAATTGTATCTGTTATATCATCTTCTAAATATGGTCTACAGGGAAACTATAAATGGAAGACTATAAATGTGGATAGAAAAAAACTGGCTTCTACAGGTTCAATAATTAATTGCATTACAGTCAACATAAGCAATGTGTGATTAATATCTTTTTATTTAAAAATTTTATTCGAGGGATAGATTTTTATTTTTTTAGGATTAAACTCACAGATACATACGCAAGATACCAAATAGGTAACTTAATCTTGGTACAATCATGGTCATATTAGTTTTAACTCATTAGTCCACGATACCAAACGATAAGAATAGTCAATTTGAAATATAAATTTCTGTCCAAATGCTTATCATGCCTAGCGCTGTGCATAGATTAAGAATCTCAAAGATAGTATGAGGCTTAAGCTGACGTTCAACAACAGCAATGGCTCATTGAATAATTGCATTATTTTATTAGATAAAACGCATTTTAAACGAACTACCTTGTGCGTTTTATACTCATTTTTACTTGCGCAATAGAAATGAGGATATTCAAATAACGAAACTGCAATATTTTATCTATCATACATAATAGATAGGCAGCGAAAGTGTATGAGGCTTCACGATGATTCTTCTTAATAGCACTGTGAGATGCGTTAAGACAAGTCAATTGGTTGCGTTTAGTAGAGAGCTGTTTTACAACTGTTCTAAAATTTGTGAATTTAATTGGTGTATTCTCTTAGTTAGTCAAAATTCAAAGCATATATCAATCAGATTCACAAAATTTTACAACAATTATAAGGCAGCTTTCTCTGCTGAACGCAGCTAATTGTCTTAATGGCACAAATAATGAAATTTTACACAGAAATATAAGAAATTTTATTTTAATTCGATAACGTCAAACATTCTATTTTTGGAGAACAAAAATTTTTTTGTGAAAGAAGTGATTTTAATAATAATAATAATAATTTAGAAATTTATAGGTACTCTTAATGGTTTCTTAGTCATTTTAACCATTTAATTGTTAATTATTTCCAGGAAGCCATAAGATTTTTTAAACTTTGTATTTTCTCAACTTTATTTTTATTTCCACAAAATGTTAAGAAAATATGATAGCCGATATTTTATATCATATCTTACATTGTCAAGCCTATGTTATCAGAAAGTAATTATAATTGACAAAATGTAATACTGCCCACTTGGGAAGGCAAATTGTGAAACCTCGTAAACTTGCGTGGTTTAATACATATAACATAGTATAAGCATTTTGGCCATAACAGTCATCTCTTAGATTTGATCATTAATAATATAAAGGCCATAAAGAGCTGACGAAAAATTCGTGACATATACAATTCTCTTATTTTAATAAATTCACGACTCTGCGAAACGTAGTCGTATATATGGAAATATTTTTATATGACAGTTCCTATACTATTTAATCTTATAATGTATGAATTCTCGCATGCAGAAATGTATCATCATTAACAGCGAGAAAATTTTAGAATTTAGAATATGCTTTTTGCGGTATAGATATTGTATAGATATTGCATGTTATGTGATAAATGGATAAATACGCAGATTGTAAACTAATGCTTTCGTCCAAACAAATTAAAGTTTATGAAAATAATGCTCTCACATGGATGAAAGCTAACGTCCATTTTACGTCCTTTCGAATAAAACATTTCTCATATAGAAACGATTTTTGTATATGATAGTCAGTTCTGTAAATATTGAAGCAAATTGATAAAGTAGAATGGCCTATGTTGTTAATTGTACAGAATTAAATGAAAACAAAACTTCTGAAGTTCCAGTAATTTCAGTAAGCTGCCATTAAAAAAAGAAACTTATTTTTTGATGAAAACAGCTTGATAGTACAGAATTTATGTTACCAATATCTAGATAATAATATGAATAATAATATTAGTGACACTACATATAATTTACTTATAATAGAACAATATAGGAAATTCCAATTTGGTGATCTTCTAATTTAAATATAAGAGTTGATTATATATATATATATAGATATCTTCTCGAGAGATATTATGAAATAAAATATACCACAAATGACATACTAAATCTCAAATTAAATATAGGATAAATTAATTCTTGCACGAGAATGTTCCAATTTTTGCATTAGATATGTATAGTATTTGCAAATTAAACTAGTGACAAATAAGATTGTCTTTGGCATGGTACTATAAAAACTCCTACAGTATTTTTTATTAAAATAGCCTAATCGTGTGAAGGATTTTTTCAAAGAAAATGGAAACTAAACTGTGAAAAGATCAGTATTTAAATTAATGCAGTTGATTAGGTTATTACAAATATTTTAATAAAAAATAAAAATATCTTTATATATAGATTGTATTTGGTTTTTGGAAAATAATATAAAAATTACTACTATCTAATAGTAAATACTTTTCATTAATTAGTCTTAAATTAGACAAATTATCGAACATGTTTTATTGCTATATAATAGTATAAAATTTTTACTCAATTAGCTAATAGTATAATAAATTTACATTTTGGAGAACAAAAAATTATATTAACTGTTATTTATGCAGATATCTTTTTATTCATATTCTATTTTTGATGACATTTATTTAGCTGTTTAATAATATTTATTTTTGTTATGATTTCATGTTTTCCTTTATTTATATGTTTCTGACATGACATACAACTATAAAATTTGCCTAACTAGATTATTAACGAACAATTTGTGCGGAGAAAATTTTTCTCACTCATCGCGAGATATACCTCATTTCTATAGTTTATCTTAAATGCAATTATTATATTAAATAAGAGAATATAATAGAAATTAAGTTAAAGAAACTTGTAGAATAGTGATGTTTTGATGTTGGGCATTCATAGATTTAATTTGATTTGTTAGATAAAATGAGCCATAGATTTATTTTCACAGTGTCGCTAATGATAATTGCGTTAGTAGTTATTAGTATCATTTAGAAATAAAAAATGTGATTGCGTAGTCTTCTACATAAATAAGTTTCTAATAAATTCCACATGGCAGTTGCAATATTATTTTAAGAGTCATGCTATATTTTTTTATATCCGATGAAATAAATTTGCAGTTTCGTTGTTTGTATAGCTTGTATTGTGTAAAAAATAAACCATATATATAGATATGTATATACATAGCATTTATTTTACATACTTATTTTTAAATTGGAATATTGCGTGCACGCATTTGTTATTGTTATCATTATTTAGATTGTATTCTCATAATTAATTGAGAATGAATTTCCCGTCAGTTTCAGCCTCATTTGTATAACTGTCATTTATATTATACAAATACCTGGCTTGTGCAAAAATGCGTGGCCAGTAAATTGTTCACAATTTTGTACATGATATACTTCGCGCGCGTTGCCTTTATACATATTCTGTAAAAAAAAGATACATTACTTTTTATTCTCAACGTAGAACACACAACTTGTAAATAACGATAAAGCCGCGAACATGTGAAATGTCGATGAAACTGAATATGTGGAATGATATTCTGGCGAGCATTCGTATTGCACTTTGCGTTCCACGGTGAAAATCAATTGCATCCAAATAAAACAGAAATCTTCTTTGCGTCATACACAGAAAACTTCAGAAATTAATGGAATTTTGTTTTAATAGAGTGTTTGGCTGAATACTCATCCTGACAAAAAAATGTAATCCAATGCATTCCATAGTACATATAATGTTAAATGGTTCACTAACAATTAAATTGTAATTAGGAGACGATTGAAAAGGGAAACAATATGAAGAGTAACTCTTCATTACATCAATGTTGGCTATTTATGCACAGCTTATGTATAAAATACATAAATTATCATATTACACATATGCAGAGTATCTCATCATTGTCCTTCAAACATTTGTTTCAAATCCAGACATTCACAATTCTCAGTTATAAAGAATTAAAAATAACAGAGAACGAATTAATTTTTAGAGATGCAAAGAGAAGAAAGAAAATTAAAATAATTTTTCAGTTAATCTCAAGTAGATTTTAATTTAAGTAATATTTTGCGCTTGATAAATATTTAAATGATGCCAGAATGTTAATACAACCTTAAATTTAAATAGATATGTCAAAAAATAAACAATGACAATTTTATAACAGTACTGATACTGATAGAATAATCTATATACATGAAGTAGATAGATGAATTATGTAAACAATTCTGCTTTTTATTCGTTGATTTAGATTACATATTGAATAATAATTTGTATCACGCGCATAAATACCCAACATTGGCTGCGTTCTAGTGGACTGCATACAAATTCGCACAGTAAGAATATTAGTATTGTTGTAACTATATTTCTTTGTCACTGTACAATATTACTCTCACCAAATATAACTGCGCTTATATATTTACAATATAAGATTAACAACGCGTTCACTCTGAAAATTTGTAAACCCTGTATTCGAAATTTCCAATTTTTCCGCAATTTTTTCCACTCGAACAGAATTGATGCGCGAAAGGCGAGGAAGTTTTCAACATTTAGCATCGATACATGATATTTATAAAAGCAAACTCTTTTGGTTTGGTGTATCGCCATGGTAATCTCTCAAATCCACGAGTTAACATTCAGGTATTCACATAGATACACGTGTAACATTGTTACACCATCACTAGCATCCGAGTTGTGAAAACATTGTAAGGTTTTGGGTAAAATGAATAAAGAGAATTCGTCTGAGCCATGATTTTTATTTATACAACAAAATTTATATATAATCCATAATGATCGATTAAATCAGCATTTTGTTGCATTTTTAATGCAACAAAATGCTTATGAGATATAAAAGTAAAGGCTGGTGAATTTGACAAACAGAACCAACAGGTACATACGAAATAAAGTTTATTTCCCAAATATTTATAATCACTATGTACACGATTCTGTACAAAAGTTTAGAAAAACTAATTCACGAACACTACGTACAGCAAACGCAATCATTATAATAAATATATGTACATTATAAATAATTGTCTTACTGATCACATCTAGTTCACTCTAATCATCAGTATTCAATCTTACATTAAAAACAGCATTTTTTATAAATACGGATTGTAATATACAATCTTTCATATTTATATATATTTAAATTTATATATGTATATAAATTTATATATATATACACATATATATGTTATCAACATAAAAATTCACTAGACGACGAATGAAAAGGACAACTTTTAAGATTTTATGCAGTAGGTATTTTTTTGTGCTATTCATTCATCCACAATAGTGGCATAAAAATTTATACAGCATATACCTACCCAAGGTATTAAAATGATATTAGATTTTAGTAGCAACGAAGAATCTAATCGATGACTTAGAATCTAAACCATGTCGCTTTGATATAAGGGCATTAAATGTTAAAAAATGCGAAGAAAAATACATTGCATCAAGCAATGCTTTATGATTATTGAATTTTTTTTGCCTCTTTTCTTTCGTTTTTGTCTTTCCGAAGAAATTATTATGCATCATAAGCATGTGAATCCCTATTATTTTCGAAACAAAATATTAATTTAGTTTTTATTTAGGACGAATAATTTTTCATGCCTATTAAATGAGGCCTTACAAAAGCCGTTCACAATTTGATTTTATCATGCTACATAATTATGTTCATGATTTAATATTATACAAAAAATAATGTAACTATACTCAATGAACACTTGAAGTGGGACACCCTGTATACTATTACGCGAAGAATCATATTTGAAAGTCATTTTATTATAATTTACTTTCGTTATAATATAAATAAAATTTAATTTTTCCTACAAATTCTTAGCTCTTTATATATGAAGATAATCTCACTAATGCCCATTTCTGCCAATGTAGATTAACTTTAATCTCGGTTTAACTTACTTTCTATCTTTTTCTAACGCTTAGAACTAGGAAAAGATGACAGGTAAGTTAAACCAAAATTAAAATTAACCTGCGTTGATAGAAATAGACATAAATCACAAGAAACAAGCAAATCATGCATGGAGTTTCACAAAAAAATAAGAAAGATTCTCTTATTGTTTTCCTTTGGCTGGTGATGTATCATTTACGACATAAGTTTTATATATATATATATATACATATTAAAAAGAATATGAGCATTTAGGAAGAATATAACCAGTTCGTTAATTCTAGCGATAAAAAGTAATATATTATAACGAGTGTCCTGAGATTACACAGCACAAAGAAACGAAGCGAAAAGTATTTAAATATTATCTATAACAATTATTTCAAGATATTACAACGGAATTCTTTTTGAAAGAAATTCTTCCTGAAACCTAGAGTATTATTATAAATTAGTATAAAATATTGCGATTTCGTCTTTGCACATAATTAAATAATAGAAGTAAAAATAGTACTATATGGAAGCATTAAGTACAAATTTATATATATATATAAGTGTAGATTTTAATAATTTCCAATTTTATTTGAATATAGCATAATTTCATATGATAGCATCATTTAGCAAAAAATACTTCAATAAAAATCATTAAAATATTTTCATATATATAATTATATCATATTACGTAATTATTTGAGAACTAATATCACTTAAAGCTTCCATGTATAATACGTATAATTACATCCATCAATTGATTTAATTGTTCAAACTAAATGTATGCATGATAAATTTCGCAGTTTAAGTAAAATAAAACGTCTATTATTTACAATATCGACCAAGTAATCTACAGGCACACATTCTCTGTAAATATTGTACAGTTTGTCGTCGTGTGCTTTCTCTACTTAAACGTAGACAATGTCGGTATAGTGCAGAGAACTTGGCATTAAGAATACATTGTACAGCCTCAAATGAGCTTTTTGAGGATATGTTTCTTTTTTAAATGTAATGTGTTAGCCATCCAATGGTGGTCCTAAGTATACCATGGACACTTCTGTATTCCCATAAACCGCAGATACCGATGGATATAATCTCTTATCTGGTAACCCTGTTTATCAAAGTGACTCGTAAAGGCTTATATTTCTGTTTTAAAATTTCAAGGAATGATATAGAAAGGAGAAGAAGAAAACGATGTAACTGTCTCAAACTTTGGACGCTAATAATGATAGCAGATAATAATAAAAGTATATCAAAAACATGGAGAAATAGATAAAATGTCATACCTCTAAAAGCTACACCCAGAAATTCGTAATTCTTCTCGAAAGACAACGTATTATCATCACAATCCAAAATTACTCTAATCCTTTCCCCAACCTGTAAATGAAAATTATCAGATATTAGGAATATTTCTGAATGTAAAAATATAACGAGTGACTTGGTTATTGATATGGATACGATTTGTGACAAATATCAATACCTGATATTTCGGAGCGTTGTTGAGCAAAGGATAATTCCCTTGTGGATCTCCATTATGTAGCAAATGGTTGTCGACAAGGTTCCAACCCCAGGAATGTTCATCCGAGCCGAGCAACGCTACGTATCCGTGACACAACAGCGGTGCTTCCTTAGTGGCTATTCCTATTACCGCTACCGTTCCCAATGGTCCTTCCCAGATAACTTCCCAGGCGTGACGCCCGTGTCGAAAGCCTATCTTGCCCCTACACGCGTCCGTACTTTGCGCCACAGGATTTCTGCAACAATACGGTAACTGATGCGAGACATTTTGGATATTGCACTCGTCAGATTACTTCACGCTTCTACTAAACAATTTTTACTAGCAGATCAACTACAAGGGTGCTCAGCTGTAGAAGCAGCTCCTTCAAGCTCCTTCTAAAAAACATATTCCCAACACTACGTCGTCTTACAAAAAGTCTCTTCTCTCGAAGTCACGTCTGCTAGGTAAATCGACTGATTTACTTGCAACGGAAAGCAATATTAGATTGCAGCCGGTATAAGGGGTGCTGTCAAAATGTGGCTACGTTAAAAGTACAAACGGAGGCTTCGCCTCCGACGACCGAGACGCACGGGAGGACAACGTCGCACGGGACACCAACCTGTGCAGGGTGAATCCGTTGGGTTTAATATAAATGTTCCGCGAGCAATCGTTGGGATTCCACGCGTGGTAAAACGCGCGCAGCTTCGACTTGTATGTGGGCACCGAGGACAACAAGTCGGAGCTGAGGGCCTCCTGGGCCAGCTTTCTTATGCAGTGCATCCGCCACACGTCGTTGTTCTCGTCGTTGAGAAAGCAGTACCACCGTTTGCAAACCAGCGAGCAGTTTCTCAGCGTGTGCAGGTCGAGATACGAGAATATCACCTCTAAAACGTGATCAGACGCCCGCAGTGCTATATCGTCCATTTTGCCGGGTCTGTCTTAGGTGGAACGAGCGTAAACATACGCGGCACAGAATACACCGACCACCGTACGTATACGTCACAAACTACGCGCATGTTAGACGGGCGTGGGGCGCCGACGGCGACGGCGACGACGTCGCCGGCGCGGCACGATTCTAGAGAATGTATATTCGAGGCCGATATTTCGTACGCCCACGCGGCCCACGCACTTTTAGGACGATTTCGAGCGAGTCCCGATTAACTTAAAATTGGAGCAATTAAAACCAAAAAGAATGCTTCGCTTATCAGATATTATAGTCCTTATGTTTAGAGTTAAAGTTTCCAACCTTTTGCGTTAAGAAATTTTTTGTAATGAGGCTGAATAAGTTTTATTTTGGAAAAAAAAGTAAAAAAAAAAAGTAAAAACAAATAAATATCTTTATTTTAATTTTAAAATTCTTTTGTATTTTACTCTATGTCCATTTCTACCAATGCGGATTAACTTTAATCTCGGTTTCATTTATTTTACTTCTTATTTTTTTCTAATTCTTAAAACTAGGAAAGGATAAAAAGCAAGTTAAGCCGAGATTAAAGTTAATCGGTATTGGTAGAAATGGATATAATAAAGGTTATAAAAGAGAAAGGAAATATATATATGTATAATTAAGTATATGGACATATTTCATAATTATATACCTATGTATTTATATATATTTTTTTTTTATATGAAAATTGTTTTACTGCAGAAAGCATAATATACCTATTATGCTTTGTGATAACATGAGAATTAAATTTGCTCTGAACAGATCTTTTTAGCAACAACATCGATCAATTTCTGATTAGAAAAAATTTAGACGCGCCTTATTAATAGACTTAATTATTCTTGTTTCCAGAATTGAATAAGCATATTATTGCATGAGCATTCTTTGTGTCGCTAAAGCAGTCTAACTATTTTAGCTCTAGCTGCACATAATTACTATATTTTAATGTCTTAATTAATACATAGATATATATTAATTAATATATTATAATTAGTATAATATTAATATATATTATTTTTTTATTTTATGTATATCTTTCCTCTTCATGAATAAAGAGATTAGATTTATATATATAGATCCCGAAGACAATTTATTAGCGTCTACACGAAATACAAGATTTATAAAAAGTATACATCTATATACATATAAATATATATTCAATATCATCGCAATATTCATGTTACACAACAAAAGTTCCACGCAATCGCCTTCTTCGCGCATGCGTGCTTCCGTCGGCCGCGATTAAATCACGATTTAGTTAGCACTTTTTTCGGCGGACCGTTGTAACGTTTTGTCAATTGAATAATTCTCTCTGCTTCACGAATACCACTGAGTCTCGCACCGTGCACCGTACTGTAATGCCCCGGTACAGTAGCCTCGCCCGCGAATAAGAGTATGGGAGGTACCGCTTCGCAAGAATCTAAAGAACGTACGTGATGTATGTTGAGGAAATGCCGAAGCTGCCATAAACGAAATTGTTAATGTCCGACTTTAAAATTAAACAAGGTCCATATAAGCCCTTTCAATATAGAAGCTTTCAGAAATATCCGGAATATTCAGGACAAAGTTTCTTCTAAGCTTTTTTTTAAATTTTAATTGTTAATAACGTCTTTATCGATTTTTTAAAATTAAATTCCGTACTAAACATGCTGTCTTAATACATAACATTTTTGAATATTATGAATAACCAGAAAGCGAGGTTCAAGCTGTTCAAGCTGTAATCATTATAATAATATCCGATATTTATCGATTTTAATATTAAATTAAGGGCTATATATAAACTTTTAATATAGGATATCTTTTAATATTAGAAATCCAGAGCGAAGGTCTCTTTCAGCTATCTAGGTAGGTGATTCGCAAACGAAAGTTGGAGATTACCCGGTAACGGACTAGCCAGATCACACTGATGACCAACGGTGCTGTCCATCGCCATGTAACTGTAGGCTCCGGCGAAACATTGATCCATGCACCATTTGCTCCTGAGAATGTTGGCCGGATAAGGTAATGTCGGATCGCCGGTGAATCGACGAAGGACCGTCGTCATCGACTCCACCACCTCCTCGTCGGAACACAGTTCCATGTTCGTCGCTTCGCGTCCGCACACCCAGGCGCACAACACGTGTTGAGAATTGGGCAATTCCTCTACGTTTGCCACACCTAAACGCGAGCACTTTCATCGATTTTTTTTACATCGTAATATTAATATTAGGATTAACAACCTTTCACCCAATCGCATCTGTCCGCCAGTTCTTCGGCGGACCAAGCCAGCTTGATGGCACCCTCTCGCCAGACCCAGAACGGCCTCGCGTATTCCAGGAAGATTTTGTTGACGTGCCCGTATCCGAGCTTGCTGATCGCTTCGACTTTCTCGGCGGGTAATCCTGGTAGGAACAATTTCGCGTGTTGATTTTTTAGGACGCCAAGTGAAAGAGTCACGATCACGTAATCGGCAGGAAACTCCTCGCCGTCGATGCACTTGACGACAGCTCGTGGATACGCGTCGCTTACTGTGCCCCACCGAATGCAATTAACTGGTTTGCAGTACCTTGAAAGCATTGAGTGATTCCATATTTATAAACAGCCTTTAACAGAAGTTATTTGCAGTTAAAGTTTAAACTAATCGATTAATTAACTAGAGAAAATCTTATTTCCTACGATGTTAAATATTATCGCAGTCTTGCGTTTAGAAATTGATCATCAAAATCACTTTTTTTGCAAAGCTACATTGTTTAAAAGCTTTTATATTTGCTTTTTTTCGTGTAGCTGTCAAATATAGATATAGCCATTTTAAATTTTTGCGTAATTCTTTTTTAATATCGTAGTTCAATTTTACTTCTTTGTGAAATAGATATTAGATTGGTGAAATAATGATCGAGTTAAACGAGCTTTTGTACAAACCTGACGCAACAACTAGGCAGATCTCGAAGCAAGGGAGCCAACACCCCCACGTATCCCAAGGGTACCCTGATATTTCCACCGGGGATCTCGATATAACTGCCAAATTGGTCGGCCGAGACGAGCGAGAGGTCATCACCGCATCGACATCTCATACAATTCGTCATGCCGTACATCACCCTCGCGGCATCATATCTGCGAATCGTACGTCAGCCACATTGTCAACTTTCGGTTATGGCAGAGAAGCATATATAACTTAGCCGTAATTAGTTGCGCAGCGATGTAACGGTTATACTTTTTGCGAACCAAATCAAATTCATTTTTTTTATCAGTAATGCGAACAGCTTTTTAGAATAATTGCTTACTATATGATTAACTTTATTTACATATTTATAATAATGTTAAAATACAATTTTAAGCTTAAGATATATGCATATATATGTCAATCACAGACATATATTACTAATTTGAATAATATGATCACGAAAACATAAATAATCAATGCTGAAACACGATGAGAAATAAGATAACTTAAAAAGTAACATTCGCGGTTAAAATATAATCCCGTTCTGTAGCACATGGTTTATCGTATTTGTGGTTTTTATTTGACTTTTTAAAAAATTTCTATTTATAATTTATAAACTAATAAAATATAACAATTGTATTTTCTTGTTTGAGTATTCGAACCAAGTTGTACCCACATAATGTTTTCTGAACATTTTTATCGGAAAAAAAACTCCGATCGTATACTTCTAATAAATTAATGAGAGACTCTCCACTCGTCTAATTATAAGATCGTAAGCCAACTCTTTACATCGCTGGCGATATGGCTTTGCGGTTGACCTGGGTCAACTGTACCGTTGCTCCTCGGGGAAGTTATGGAGCTCCTGCTGAATTCTGACGCCCATAAAATTCAGCAACGTACCGTGGGTACGGCCGCAGCCAAGGGCAAAGAGAGTCGCCGCCTGCTGCTCGATTTGCCGGAACGTGTGATACGCCGCGATGCTAACCGGAAGATCGATGGCCCTACCGTCGCTGGTACAGAAGAGCCCGCGACTTGGTTCCGGTCTTAAAAGCGGTGTCTTCAATAGGCCTTCCTGTGCCGCCAACGTGAACACCGGGTTAGCCACGCAACCACCCTCGATCCACGTGGCGCCCATTTCCGCCACCACATCGCCCAGCCAGCAAGAGTGGATCCGTCCACCGGGTCTGGAATTAGAAATGCATTAATAAACTTTTATTAAAATTTATATGTGTTGAAATAACATTGAAGCAACGCGGTTAAATTTAACTGTAACATATGTTATTTCGAGATATTTTTATTAGGATAATATAATATTTTATTACTAGTTTAATGTTAAGGTTTATTAATTTTTATAATTCAAATGCTGATTTTGAATTTGTTCAATTAAGATACCTATCTGTTGCTTCTAAAACTGTAAAATTACGGAGGCCGCACTGAGCCAATCGATGCGCTGCCGATAGTCCGGCCATGCCGGCCCCTACGATCACGACAGTCGGTTCTGGTTTGCATGGATCTATCATACAGGGATCCAGTTGGCACGTTTCGAATTTTGTCGGTCTTGTGCATTCCGCTATATCTTTTTTACTTCCTCCACCTTTGTCCGATGAGAATAATCTGCGCGCGAGACTTTCTCATTATTCAATTAATTGCCAGTTTTTTTATTGCAAGTGAAATTTCATTAGCAAATACATCATTAATAACACGAAAAAGTACGATTTTTAAGAAAAAACTATGTAACCTCATTTGACGTTTGAATAATACCATTTCCGCGTACCTTGTGAGAAATCGTTGCAATTTCCAGGATGATATTCTAGACCTCGAGAGCATTTCATTGGTTGTACGGTATTAAAATCAATGGATTTGTGAAAAAATTGATTATTAATTGTTCAGAAATTTAGACGTGTATAATTTAAACGCGAGTTGCTATGAGAAAAACAATATGTCATTAAAAAACAAAGAACTTCGATTATTCTCATCCTCTACTGTCGACTCGTTATCGCTAGGCTTGCACGTATGTAATACAATACATACATTTCGATATCGACGCGATAGTAAAAAGGCTATATATATTAACCATGCCCATTATTATGCCTCTTTTTTGGGAGCAAGGATGTTGTAATATGAAGTTAGATAGTGACCAGAAAATATAGATTTGCAAAACCAATAAAATTCTAGAAAGTTATTGTTTTTACTTTTTAATAACTGTTATTGTTAAATTGAGCTCACGAAATACTGCAAAAATTGCATCCATAATTCTTAATATAAAGACCAAGAAAATAGTCGATCTAAAATTATTTTACATATAGAGTTAAAAGTTCTTTAACCGCAAAAGATGGCTTTGTATCTCCGTCGGACAGGTTGTTAGAACAAAAACATTCCATTAATTGATTAGTTTTATTAACATTTCTGTCGAAATGATAGATTTTTAGAAAGACAATTCTTCATGGTATTCTATTTTATTAAACGGGAATTGATGATAAATATAAATTTTTTTGCGGAATTTGCATAAATCTCATACGTTTTGTGTTCTTATATGTATATAAAAATAAATAAATTTTATAACGCGATTTAAATTTTATGATATCTATCAAAATATAATTTTCCAATCTACAGATTACACGTTTATATGAATTGCAGGATCGATGAGTAACATGAGCAACAAAGAACTATGGCATATCAACCGCTTATTAGTAATTAAAATGTGACGCATCAAATAATATATTTGACACTTATTTTACTACGTTAAATATTTCGTGTACATTATTACTTATTTTTTTGGAGCCATCATGATATCACATGTCGGCTTTTCGCCGACTATAATCCTCCTATGAATAAGAATTTGACGCGGTAGTAACCATTATCCAAAGGGTTGAAAATTTAACGCTGGAGCAAATTGTATCTGTTGGATTAAGTGAACGGGCACGAGAAATAGTTTTTAAATTTTTCTTTCGCTTTCTGTCTATTCAAATAAAACAGATATTTATTTGAGTATTAAAAATAGAAAAAACTAAGAAAGGCGAGCTAGAAAATATAAATATAATTAAAGTAAATCAGTCCCACAGTGTATAACAGTTTAATTTACTAAATTTATACCAAATTCAAATATGTTTACGTGCAAGGATTTACAGTGACTTTGACTTTGACGTTCTAATAAACAAGTGCCCAAACAAAAGAAAATGGGTAAAAGTGAAGAGCATACTGTACCTTTGTGCGGCCAGTATAGACGTAAAGATCAATTATCGCAAGTCATTTGAAGAGGCTGACTCTCCTAAAATGGATTTTTCCAGTTATACTGACAGCAATATTTCAAAAACTACTGAAATGAATGTTTCAAGATCTACTGAAGATCCACACTCTTTTGCGAAACCAGGTATTTTAGTTATTTAATTAGTTACTTAAGCATTGTTCATATAAAGAACGTTAAATTTATTTACTTATCTTTTCTTTAAAAAATTTAATAAAATAAGGAACAGAATTTATAAAGTTGTTTGAAAGACGAAACTACTGCACATATCCTTAGCTTTCCTAATAAATTAAAAATTTCCAGAATTGCCATATTTTCTCACAGTATTAATTAACTGACAACATAATGCGCATTATGTTGTCTTATTAAATGTATGAAATATATTGTATTTAGTATAAATAAAGTCTGGAAGTTGTTTGCATTTTACAAATGATATTACAAGCATTTACTATAATAATTTTAATTACAATATATATCATTTTTTGTCGTGTATTTATTCATCACACTTATATATCATTATTTATTGTTTACCTATATTTCTTATTTTTTTCTTTCTAATTATAAGAATTGGCACGTGTAATACATACTCATTTAGAATTGATTGTGGATTTTAATCGAAAAGTTCTTAAAGGAACAGCGAGTTTGACTATCGAAAGTGCATCTTTAATTATAAATGAGATAGTGAGTATTATAGACATATTTTTATATCGAACAAAAAATTTGACTGGTTATTAATATGTAATATCGAATAAATATAGATTTTAGATAACCTTGGACTTGTTATATCAAGTGTCACAGACATGTCTAATGGAACACATTTAAATTATTATAATAAAATTAATTATGCTTTTGGAAGCTCACTTTGCGTACAATTACCATACACTGCTGATGCTACTTTGTAAGTTAATATAAGATATTTTTAGAAATATATAATTACTAAAAATGATTGATGTATAAGAATTGAATATACTGATAATACGATACTTTTCAGATGTAGAATTCAAATTGAATATGAAACAATTCCATACTCTCCTGCATTATGTTGGCTAACACCTGCGCAAACTGCTGATGATTTATATCCCTTCCTATTGTCTAACAATAAGGTAAACTGGATAAACAAAGATATTCTTTTGCATGATGAATAAATTTTTTCTACGTGAACGAAGTGTATAAAAGTAATTTTTCAGCTAATACATGCCAGAGCATGGTTTCCTTGCCAGGATACTCCATCTGTCAAATTTACGTATTCAGCTACGGTAAGAAGTTATATAAAAGCAATACCAGCTAGTATTTCTATGCATTCCGCATTTATTCATTTGTAAATGTACATGAAATTAATGATATTTGATTGATTATTATTGATAAAAATAATAAAAATTTGGAGAAATAAGAATGGAATGCGTTAGTAAAAAGGAATTAAATATTTTTATAAACGTGAATTCCTATATTTTCTTATAAATGACTTTAATAAAATTAAAATAAAATATCTATTTAATTTTTATTGACATATTTAACATTTTTAGATTTTAGTACCCAAAAATTTTAAAGTTGTTACGTCCGCACATTTAGAAAGTATATGCGAAGGCCCGGAGATAGCCGTATATACATTTCTTCAAAGTAGACCGGTACCATCTTATGCGGTGATTATTGCTGTGGGCTCACTAGAGAAAAGACGTCTTAATAATAGGACCGATGTATTTGCCGAAAACAAATTTATTGACACGTGTATGAATACGTTTCATTTTGCCATGATTGAAACCATGTTGGAAATTGCCGAACGTTTGTGTGGACCCTATATGTGGGGTAATAAAATATTAACTAGATATTTTGATATATATTATTTATTTAAATTAATTTAAATTGCTTTAAATTTATTTTTTGATATGTTTATTTAAATTTATACATATAACAAATTTTTCTTTTGTGGATTATCAATCTTCTTTGTTTATTGTGATTACTTTCTTGTTATTACATTTAAAATGAAATCTCTAGGCAGATACGATATATGCGTGCTTCCACCAAGTGTGGCACATTTTGAAATAGAATGTCCATGCGTGATATTTATTTCGCCGACACTACTTGGCGGAGATCGTTCTTCTATCAGGAAACTCGCTCGGAATGTCTCACAGAGCTGGGCAGGAAATTTAGTTACGTGTTCGAATTATGAGCATTTGTGGTTGAATAAGAGTTTTAGCATTTTTATTAGCAGGAAAATTGAAAGCAAAATATGGTTTTGTGAAGACATAAAGTCTTATCTCGAAAGGGAAGGATTAACGAATTTGAATGCAATAGTAAGATTTTAATTTTGAAAATAAAATAAGAAATAATGTTATAAAAAATAATAATATTCTATATTGTATAATACATAATAAACACACACGAATTTCTGCATTCTTATTGCATATTATTTTCTGAAATTGTATTATAGATTCAAAATCTTTCAAATATCGGCTTGCTAAGATGTTTATTACCTAATTTGACGGGTTGGTCGCCTCACAGAGCTATTAAATATGTGCCTTACGAAGTGGGATATGTACTCTTAGATCATTTGGAAAATATGTTAGGAGGACCCTCAGTATTCGAACCATTTCTTAAATATTATTTTTGTAAATTAGCATTTAAAAGTATCAACACTACGGATTGGATAAACTACTTGAATGCATATTTGTTTGACAAAAAGATGGTAACGTACCTTTTATACAAATAAACTGCAGTTGCACTAGTATTCATATGATGGCATTAGAAATAATGATTTCAATGTTGTTCTCAGACATTAGATTGTGTTGAATGGAACTCGTGGTTCTATAATATTCCTTCTGCATCTATCTTGCCGGGAGTGACCGCACGTGAAACAAAGTGTTTCGACTTAGCGAGAGAATGGGTCAAATGGGATAATAACACCCATAGTATACCTTCAATGACATATGGAGATCTTGACGACGCCGAAAAAATAATATTCTTAAACTACCTACTTTTTTATTTTCATACTGATTTGTGCACGGAAAAACTGGAATCAATTTCACATTGTTACTCTCTTGATTCCAGAAATGGTGAAATACGGTAAATATGCATATTTTCACTTAGACTGATTCACTCTGCAATTACTCAACGTAAATTGTACGTATTTCACAGGTTTGTTTGGCTGCTATTGTGCATTAAAATTCGATGGGCTGAGAAAGTTGAATCAGCTTTGAAGTTTGCCACTGAATATTGTTCGCCAAATTATGCATGTCCTATATTTCAACATTTGTATGAATGGACAAAAATGCGTAAAATAGTGATTGAAACGTATAAAACAAATAAAGAGAAAATGTTACATAAGACCCAAGAAGAATTAGATAC